TGGCTTTGTGCCTCAGGCAGGACTAGAACTCAAGATCTCCCAGTTTCTAACCTGATGCCTGAACCTCTACACCAAACTGGCCCTCAATAATTATAATAAAGTCCCTGCAGTTTTCTCGGCAGGATTTCAGAAGTGGTTTGCCATTGCCTCCTTCCTAGGAGGGCTGAGAGAGAGGGACTGGCCCAAAGTCACCCAGCTGGCTATGAGCCTGACAGACCTAGAACTCACAGTCTCCCGGTTTCTAGCCTGCTGCCTTCACCACTACACCAAGCTGACTCATGTTTAAATGAGACACGGGAAAGGGTGTTTCCTTGTGGTGCCCAGCTTTCAAATTCCTTCTTTGGTGACCAGGGTTATGCCTAGCTTTTCAATCTTGCACGCAGGTTTTGGCTTCTACAACCTGACTATGCCTTTTGTCTCTCAAGTCAGTGTTCTGTTGTTATTATTGTTGATGTATTATTGATTGTTATGATGCCTTTCAAATTAAGATGTTATTATTTATTTATTTATTTATTTATTTATTTATTCAGTTTTACCTTGCTTTTTTATGGATGGCAACCTCTGGATAGTGGGTGGGCTAGAAATAATTTATGTAAATAAAAAGATCCTTATGTCCCCTGCAGGGTATACCTTACTCACCTCCAGTTTAAGGATTACAGGTCCAATATTATGGGTAGACCTGCATAATGGTCATCTGCATTTCCAAGATATGGCTCTGTTCAGACCATAAACTTGCATGCCAAAGAGAACGCATGGGGAACCACTCCCTCTGTGACCAAGTCTGGCCACAAATATTGCATGACCATCTGCAATGGGAAGGCTTCTGCTACTCATGAGCATTGCCCCACACGCTGGAAGTTTTAGGATACAGAAACTGCTCGATGTGATAAATACCCCACCTCTCATTCCCACCATCCCCATGGAGGACTAAGAAGGACTATACAGTTTTCCTGCTGGTCAGCGTGGACAGTCTCTGACCTACTTCATCTGTTACCAAGAGTGTGGTCAAAAAAACAAAAAACAAAAAAACTGGGTCATAATGCAGTTGAAGCTCTGTGACACCCGTAAAAAAACAGGGCACCCCTGTTGGTTACATTATGTTGTACACAAAGGGCATGTTATAGATATCGAGAGAGAGAGAGAGAGAGAGAGAGAGAGAGAGGTGATAGATAGGCAAGCAAGTTTAGAAATGTGCCCATGTGCTTTTGCACATGAAAGTGAGCAGGAGAGAAGAATGAGGTGGAGGAGAGGATGCTAGTGTGAGAGCAGTCCCCCCCCCCCTTTGATTCATGTTTCACCACCCATTGTTCTGGAAAATACAAGAAAAAAGGCTGCCAGATAAGGCCCTAAGAGGAAACTGAGGGTGCCTCAGGAATTTGCTGGCCAATCTTTATTTTAAAATTAGGAGCTTATAGGGCTCTTCTCTCTTGCTTTCTCTCTCTTGCTCTTTGCAAAGAGAATTTGCAACGCTGACTCTTGAGTCACATCTGGGGTGATGGCCAGAGGGCTTCCTCTCTTAGCCACTTGGAATCAGGGGGTGCACAATTTTCCCTTTGGTCCCTGGAGAAGGGTACCTCTCCTCCTCTGCCAGATTCTGTTGCTCCCTGTTGGCCTTTCCTCTTCATCTCTCCAGAGAACTCCCCCAGAATTGTTGCGGGAGCCCCACATCAACTGCTAATCAAGCATGTTTGCAGAGAGCAATACGATGTCGGTGTTCAAAGTGGGGTGGAAGGGTTGGATCATAGGCATTTATATATGTGCAGGAGGAAGAGGGAGAATGGCCTCTGCTTTTAAGGAGCTTTGGAGAACAGCTGGCATGAAGGATTTTCTCTGCAGAAGAGGCTATTTACCCCCTCCTTCCCCTTTTAATCTATGAGCAAGGGCCTGAGGCAAAGGAGGACATGTGTACTTTCCTGATAGCATTAATCATTAGTGTTTGTGACCTGGTGACTGTATTGATCTTACAAGAGTATCTTACCTAACTTGATACATTGATCTATATGGATCATGCTGGTTGTGAATTATTAGGCACATGGCCCGATGTATCAGTTTTCTTTTCTCTAACAAAACCTTTTGCCTCATCTGCGTGAATTGCTAGAACCATCCTTTCCAAAATACTGGTGTAGGCAGTGTTGGGCTTCAGGGTTTAGCGTGGTCCAGACAACAGATTTCTTCAAGTTTCACTGGCAACTATGGCTGGCATCTTCAGAGGAAAGGTGGTCTGAACCCTGAAGTCCAACACTGCATATTCTTTCCAAGTTTCAGTTCTCTGAATCTGAAAATTCAGTTCTTCTCTGAGACAGAGACATCTGTTCCCCCGCCGCCCCCCCCCCATAGCTGATGGAGACAATAATGTGAAAGCACCCCATTAAGTGCAGATTTTACATATGTTGTACAGTAGTTATGGTGGCCACTTAAATGTCACCAAACTATACAGACAAGAGTCTTGAATACATACCGTATAACTATGTGCATATAATCATGTAATGCCTGCCAGAGCTGAGAAGAGTGAATTTGTGACCTTCATGCCTGCTCCATATGGGGGTGGGCAGCTTCACAGGTTCCTCACGGTCCCTCCTCCTCCTCCTCCTGCCACAACAGAACAAGCCATGATATTGGGATGAGATTCCCTGAATGTTTTTTGAGGCAGTGGTGGGGAGGTGTTTTCTTTTATGTTTTATTAGTGTGTTAGATCTGCTTGAAGTTTAACCTGTCAACTTTGATTTCTTTTGGGGCACCAAGCAAGAGGACTTGGCACTGGCAGAACTGGGCAGTTGGATTCCTAATCCTGGCCATGTGATTCTGAAGGACTTTTTGAACTGTGAAAAAAGGGCTGTGGATTGTTCATGCCAGATTTAAGACAGCCTACTGAGTTGTCTGCTGCAAAAGTGACATTTAAATTGGACTTTCCCCTACTCTTAATTCTTACTATCTGGGTTGCTTCTATTTATGTCCAAGCAGCCGAGTCTCTTTTAAATTAATTATTACAGAAGTGAAAACAAAACAAAACTGTAGGAGGTCAAGAGAGTGATGTCA